ACACACACACAGACACACACACACACTCACTCTCCCTCCCTCCCTCCCTCCCTCCCCCTATCCTCTTGGGAGAAATGCCAGAGATGGATGGAGATGCCCTTCCTGGTGGGTTTAGGAGATTGCCACACGCTTTGGGAGTGTCTTTTATTTGTTCATATATTCATTCATTCATTCAGCAAATATTTATTGAGAACACACTGGGCTGTGTGTGGGCTACAACACTGAGCAAGGTAGACCCGGGTCCTACCCTCTTGAAGGGAAGGCAGATGAGTAAGCCAGCAGCAATGGGGCTGAAGGCCGGGAGAGAGAAGTGGGATGCCTGAAGTTCAGAAGTGAGACATCTACCCCGAAGTTCAGAAGTGAGACATCTACCCCAGATTGGAGGAGGGTGAGTGGGGAAGACTTCCTGGAGGAATCAACACCTAAGGTGAGGCCTGAAGAATGAGCAGCATTAAGAAAGGCAAGACTATCAGGAAAGAGTGTTGCCGGCAGAAGGAACAATGTGCACGGGCCATGAATGAAGGCCTCACATGTGGAAAGAGCGGAGATCCTCTGCTGGGACTGAGGAGGGAAGTGGGCAGCGCAGTGGGAGGAAAGCTGGGCAGATGGGCGAGAGCCAGACCAGAAGGGCCTCCCTGCCCTGGTCCCTCCTTCCCCGGCCAGTCTTCCATCCCACAGCTGCTGTGTTGCTTTCTGTGGCAGTATCCCTCTCAAAATCCTCAGAAGGGAGCAAGATTGGGGTGAAACCCTCAAGATGGCCTTCAAGAAGCCTCTCCAGACCCAGTGCCTGGGGCCCTGCTCAGGGTTGGGAGGTGACACTGGCCTTCAGCATAGACCTCAGGTCTTTCTGTGCCTGTCACAGACCCTTCCTAGCCCCTAGGGTACAGCCCAGGTGCAGCCAGGTGCTTGCTGCCCAGCTGGGCTTCTTTGCTGGGTTTCTGGGGACTTGGAGCAGCTCACAAGCCCCTCCCTCTGCATCGCCCCTCCAGCCACTCCTCCCTCAGGGCTGACACAGACTGCCCGTCTGACAGGCTGCCCCTCTTCAGTCCCAGTGACCAGCCTCTGTGCAGCCCCTGTGTGGCTCCTAGGGGCCAGGGAGACATGCAGTGCAGGTACCCTGGGACAGTAGGGATGGGGTGGTGGGGGGACTGCTGCAGGGAGTTCTCTTTCCAGGACTGTCGGGGGACTCCTGCAGGGAGCCCTCTTTTAAGTAGAAGGGAGAGAACTGGCCCCTCCCAGGCTCCCAGAGCATCTAGCTGCACCCTGGTCTCCCCAGGCCTAGAAGAACAGAAAGCCCTCTGGGGGCCACTGTGAGGGACCCTAGAAGGCTGCTTTCCGGGGAGGCTCTGCCTGTCTCAACCCTCAGCTGGGGCCTGGGTTTCCACTTATGCCTGTCCTTTCTGAGAGTCTAGGACCCAGGACTCCAAAGAGTCTGCCCTTCTGTCCCCTGACCAGAATGGTGAAATCTTGGGTCAGGTGGGACCTCAACACCGTCCCCAGTCAAAGGGCCTCTGCAGACCTGAGTGGACTAGGTGCCTGCCATGGGGGTCCTGGGTGCTGGCCTCACTTCTGGTCCCTGCCCTGCTGAGGTGGTTTGGCCATCCGCCTGACTGTCCTGTCTGGGCTGACCCGTGCATGCTGAGTACTAAGGGCAGCCCTGCCTTGTTCTCCCCAGCCCTGCCATTCTATCCTTGGGCAACAGCATGGCATACCTACTGTGTGCCCAGCCTTTGGGAGAGCAGGGCCACGCCTGTGGAAGTCCCATTTTAGAAGCAGCGTGGGAGTGGAAAGAACTCGGGGAAAGAGCTTGGCGCAGCCTCTGCCCGGCCCCAGACCCACTGTGAGACTCAGGGAAGTGGCTTTACTTCTGTGAACCTCAGCTTTCTTGCCTGTAAAATGGAGCAGTAATCCCTCTGCTCATGTGGCCTCCCAGAGTTGTGAGGGCCACAGTGAGGGGCTCAGAGTCTGAGGAAGGACACAGACAGGCAGACAGAAGGTTCTGGGTCAGCATGGTGTGTGCCATGAGGGAGGGCACCTGACCCAGCCTTGGCAGGGCCCAGAGGCCTGGGGAAGCTTCCGGAGGAGATGGCATCTGATCTGAGGGCTTGCAGAGTTTTTTTTTTAGTTAAAAAAAAAAATTGTTTCTTTCTTACAAAAATAGTCAATATTTAAACAGGATAAAAGAACCAAGCAGAAAGTTAAGATCACCCTTCTCCATTGCCACCACCGCCAGCACCACTGGAGGATGCTTGCAGCTCTCACCCTGTCCTCGGACACGGGAAGAGTGCCTCAGCACATGTGGTATCACATACACAGTGAAGGAAGGGAAGGAGGCCTGGCTCTCCCGGCCAGGGCATGGTGGCCTGGCGGGGGCAGGAGTGAGGGTCAAAAAGGCACAGGCAGGGCTCGGGGATGGGAGGTAAAGTCAGGGAGAGCTCCTGCTTGCTAGTGGCCGCCCTCGACAGGGTCCTCTGAGAGAAAGGAGATCCTCAGCAGGTCTGGGCACATCTCCAAGGGCCAGAGAAGCCCCCTTGAGTGCCTCTCGGGCCTTTGGAAGGGAGCCATCATGGAAATGCCCTGCAGAGCTGTTGGCCCTCCAGACCTCAGGTGCTCCTCCTGGCAGGCCAGGAGCTGGGACTGGAACCAGTCCTGCCAGCCATTGTCAGGGCGCTTTCCTGCCCTACCACTCAGCTGGCTACAGGAGTTAAGATGCAGGCTCTCCTCTCGTGTTCACTCTCCTCCAGAAACCCCTAAAGGCCGCTGGTCCCTTCCCCAGGCAGTCAGCTTCACACCAGAAGAGGACAGAGAGTGGTCTCCTGATTGTGTGGGCGCAGAGCTGCGGCCCAGAGTAGCCTGCGGTGTGGTTCCTCTCCTGGAGGCCAAGATGAGAAGGTGCCTCTCGCCCCTGGGCCACTGCTCTCTCCCCTCTGACCACAGCTGAGTGTCGTGGAGCCGTCGCAAGGCCATGCTGAGAGTGTGACACACCCAGGGGACAGTGGTTTGCAGGGAAGGCCCTGTACCTGGCTGGCCCCCAGGGCTTCCATGACCATGGACAGAGGGCAGATGACAGAGATGACTCTCCATCCAAGTCAGCCTCACCCTTCCTGCCAGCTCAGTGACAGCCTGTGTGCCCCCCCCACACCCCCGCATGTTTTCCTGGTGATAAAGGGTGGTTTCCTGTTCCCTAAAAGCTGGAAGTTTACTGGGGAAACCAGCATGGTGAACCGAGCAGCTAGTCGGCAGCATCCTCACCCCAGGTGGCACAGCATGGCCTGCCTGCTGCTTGGTGGGACTTGCCATCTCTGCCCTGGATTGGTTCCCCCCTAGACCACAGCTGAGGCCATAGGGTGGGGCATGGCCAAGCCCCTGTTCCTGATGCCCCAGGGCCAGGCACCGTTCTGTGCCCAGGTGTCTGGGCCATCCCAGAGCAGATTCCTAAGCTTCCTCAGACTTGGAGCAGCCCCAGCCCCAGTACCCACACAGACACACACAGCAAGGCCAGGCAGGATTTTGTGCCAGGGGAATTTCTGCAGGTGTTTCCTCTCCGCCCCTCAGGATGTCACCCTTGGGATCTCTGCCACTGGCGAGTGGAAACTAGAGCTGCACTGGTGGCTGAACCCGTGTCCTCAGTCTCCCCCATTCCCCACCCCACCTCTGAAATGGGATCTGCTGTGCTCAGGGCACATTTCAGCTCCTCTCACATAGCACTGAAACTGTATGCTTAAATTCTGTCCCTCAGCTAGACCAGGGGCTACAGGAAGGCAAGGCCATGTCCTATGCATGTCTGTCTCCAGCACTGTCCCTGGTACATAACGGTGGCAATAATGACAACAGCTAACACCTACAGGCATTCACTGGGTACATAAGGATGCAGGCTCTGGAGCCACAGTCCTGCCTTTAAACTCCAGCTCTGTCAATTACTAGCTGTGTGACTGTGGGCAAGTTATTTAACCTCTCTGTGCCTCCATGGCCTCTTCTTAAAACGGGGATTATAGTAATACCAACCTCACAGAATAATTGTGAGGATTACATGAGTTCATACATATAAAGCTCTTAGTCCAGTTCCTGGGACCAAGTGTTAGCTTTCGTCGTCATCATTTTTTTATAGACATTTATTTTTTTATCTTAAATTTGTTTTTACATTTCAGTTTTATTGAAGTATAATTAACAAAACTGTAAGTTATTTAAAGTGTTCATGGTGATGATTTGATATATATGTAGATTATGAAAGGATTCCCCTCATCTGGGTTATTAACACATCCATTACCCTCTCTATCTATCTTTTGTTGAGAACATTTAAGTTCTACTCCCTTAGCAAATTTCAATGATACAATATGGTATTATCAACCATAGTTGATAATTATTAATTATTTACTATGTGGTAAGCACTGTGCCAAATGCTTTAAATTCTTTAATCCTCAAAACAGCTCCATTTCTCAGGTGAGGAAACCTGAGGCTCAGAGAGGTTAAGTAATTTGCTCATGGTCCCAACAGCTAGTGACCTGAAAGGCCAGATCCAAAACCCAGGCCTGCTGACTGGTCTCAGGCACCACCCTTCCCAGATGTTTATGCCTGGTTAGTAGCAAAGGAATGAAAATAAACACGGGTTGGCCCAAGTCCTGGAAACCCTTCTAAGAGACCTCTTGTGTTTTCTTTGAAGGCTCAACCACAGGAATTATCTCTTGGAGTCTCCCCACAAGTACAGTGTTGCTGACCTCCAGCAGGTGAGGCTGTCATCCCCCAGCCCCAGGCCTCCATGGAGGGACCTCATTCCTGGAGAAATCAGACAGGGAGAAAAGGCTAGGGGTACCTGTGTTTCCTCAGCTGACTGCAGTTTATAGCAGTCCTCAGCTTTGCAGTACCCCAGACTGGTGTCCTGCTCTCCCATGCTTACTGGGACAGTGACCACACCCCAGGCCACCCTGGAATAAGCAGGCACTTCAGCAAAGCCCTGGTCACAGGGGCTCCTCAGTCCCTTCCCTGCATCTGGACTTGGAGGACTAAGGTGGGTGTGGGTAGGAAAGGCCACAGGGGTGAGAGTTTGGGACATTCATTTTGTTAAGGGAAGATACGGTGGATTTGGGTCTCTTCTGTCTGTCCTGTTATCCGAGCAACTTCTGTGTACAGGGGCTGGACACCTGCATTGCTTGGCCTGATTCTGTGAGGTTTTCTTGCCCATGTGGGAAGAAATTTCTTTTGGGGTAGGAGTTCTTCGGGCAGAGTGCCATGAGCAGGCCTCAGCTTCCGCACAGCTGCCTAAAAGGCCTCGTGGCCTGTATATGCCCTCGACAGATCACAGAGGGGGTATATGAAGGCTTCCTCAAGGCCCTCATTGAGTTCGCCTCCCAGCACGTCTACCACTGCGACCTGTGCACCCAGCGCGGCTTCATCTGTCAGATCTGCCATCACCATGACATCATCTTCCCCTTTGAGTTTGACACCACAGTCAGGTATGTGGGTCACCCAGGCTGCCACCCCACCCACAGCTGGCCCCATTGCTCCCTGGAGGCAGGCCCAGTGCCGTGGCGTGGTAACACATTGGACATCCTCTCTGCCAGTGTCTCAGGGCAGCAAGGTCCAGAGCAGCCGATGCCTTGAGAAGGTACGACCAGCTCTGGGCCAGCTCAGCACAAGGCAAGCCCTCAGGCTCCCCTGCCCTCTGCGGAGCAGCCTGTCTTCCTAGAGAAGAAGTGGCTGCTGCCTCTTTGAATGGCAGGTTAGGGGCATCTCATCTTTGTCATCTGTGAATGGGTTGAGGGGGGACTGACTGAGTTACTGCTCTGGGATACTGGCACAAGGCCTGGCACAAAGTGGGCACCTAGTGGGCAGTACCTGCTCCTTGTCCCAGGTATCACTTATTATTGGAAGCTTCTAAATTAAAAAATTCATCCACCAAACCTCTGTGCCAACCCATGTAGGTGTAGAAATCTGAACTGGTGGGAGTATTAACTCATTTTCAGTAGGTATCCCCTGCCTCAGATTCAGCCCCTGAACAGACCTAGGACTGAGGTTTTTAAAGTGCAGGATGTTTTAAACATAGGCAAGAAATCATTTAGTGAGTCTCAAGTAGCATTTATAAACCATGAACTAGGATACAGTACCTGTGTGTATTGCCTAGGGGTAGGCATTGTTGCAAGAATTTTGTCCCAGAATGGAGAGGCCATGCCTGTGTGCTGTGGGTTTTGGGTAGAACACAGCCTTCCTGTGGGCTCCGGTTAGGAACACTGGCCAGCCTCAGGCCTAGGGTGGCCTCAGAACCCCTAGCACAAGCCGCACTGGCCACTCTCTCCCAGGTGTGATGAATGCAAGACCGTGTTCCACCAGAGCTGCCAGGCAGTGGTGAAGAAGGGCTGTCCCCGCTGTGCCCGCCGACGCAAGTACCAAGAGCAGAATGCTCTCACCTAACCCAGTACCCTGTCCCCACGGAGACTGTGGGATGGGGTTCAGCCCAGTCATCCCAGCTGGGTTTGCCCTCAGCCCGGCTACTCCCGTTCCCACAAGATATCATGGCTGTCTGCCTTGGCAAGAAGACTCTTGGATGTGATCAGAGCTCAAGCCTTCCAAGGAAGCCCAGGAAGCCCGTGAAGATGTGCCCCAGTCCCCTCACCACCTATCTGCCCTGGGAGGTTGTAGGCAACCCAATGCCCCTGTCCCAGGTGGAGGAGGAGGGGAGCTTTGTGCTAACCAGCTCACCTCACTGATGTTATCTCCATCAGGGCTGTTTAACACTGTGGTAAAAGACTTGGGGTGCATTTTCAATTACACATTCCTGATTTAAAGGTCTAGTTTTTTAAGGTGGGTTTTTTTCCCTTCCTATTTCAACAGAAAATATTTTTTTATTCCTGACCCTACATAAGTCACCCAGGAAATCCAGGCATACTCAGCCTGAGCAAACGTGTGAGAGCATTTGCCTACAGGCAGGCGGGTGGCTGGGCAGGCAGGCTGCCGCTGGGACAGAGCCTGTCAGCTAGACAGGATGCCTTTCCTTCACCCGCGGTGGGTGCTGGCTGCCGCCTGAAGTGCAGTTTGCCGCACTGCCTAGGCCAGTGGGGTCACCTGATAACCACCCTCTTTCTCTCCCTCTCCTCTTTCTCCCTGCTCCATCCTGCTCCCCTGAAAAGCCCATCACCTTTCTCTGAGACAGAACCCCTGGCTGTTCCATAGCCTGGGCTCTTGGTCCCAGCAGGAGAAGGGGGATGACTCAGCCGCACTGTTAGCACTTTGAGCCCTCCTTGGTCCAGGGAAGAGTCAGCATCTTGCCCACCCCTCGGCCCCATGCCCTTCTCCCTCCTCCCACAGACCAGAAGCCAGATGGGCAGGGCGCTACTGCAGACACTCAAAGGGGACGCAGCCTACCCGACTGCCCCTTGCTAGGCCCACAGGGCAGTAAGCCAGGGCCAGGGGCCAGCCTCGGGCACCGTGACTGCCAGGCCCCACACTGTAGAGCACGTACCCCCTGCCCTTCCACAGAGTGCCAGCCCTGCTGCTGAGATGGGCAGGGACATGCAGAAGAAGCCACCCTTGTGGAAGGATGCTCAGCCTCAGTTTACAAAGCCATGAATTCACAAAGCTTGCTGGACTGGCCCAGGAAGAGCACTGCCAGAGACTGGAAATTTCACCTAAGCACGATTGCCTTTTGAAAGGATTTTTGGGGTGGGGGAGCTGTGAATTGTTTTTAAAGTGATGTTTAGACTCTATAGTTTGGGGGGAATCTGGATGTTATTTCCCTGCTGCCTTCTCCCACCTTTTCAGGACCCAGTAGGCCCCCTTCAGCCCTGAGGTCCTCGGCCATCCTGTCTGTTCTCAGCGTGGACTGGGGGTAGAGATTGCCTATCATTGTCAAGAGATGAGCGTACTCCCACCTCTCCCTTGGGGTGACTTGGCTGCTGAGTCACCTGCCCAGCCCTGTGGAGCTGGATATATTGTGCAATAGATAGAGGAGGTGGTAGGCAGGTGGGGGAGGGGGGCAGCTGCCACACAGCTTCTCTGTCCCCACCATGGAAGATGGTGCACACCTATGCCCAGCACACCAAAACCTCCTAAACTGGGAAGTGGGTCCTTGTCCCCACCCTCCTCCCCCATAGCCGGCATTAATGCTCTACCACACACAGCCTGATCAGAGCTGGAACTGCCCCAGGTCCCTAAATTGGCAGGCTCTGGCAGTGGGCAGTGGCACCTGAGCCCAACCCTGTTTCCTTGGGCCTGTGGGCATATTCTGTATTCCAGAAGATGCCCTAGGAGGCAGCAGGAGTGAAGCTCTGCAGGAGCTCACTTTGGTTGGGGGGCCTACCCCACCTCACCCCCTGCCCTCCAGGGGATCAGTAGCATTAGAGGTGACCCTCTCTGCATTACCAAGATGCTGCTAATACTTAAAGATGAGTTGGCTTTTACCCCCTCACGTCCAACGGAAAGTGAGGTTGAACCTCAGTAATGCCCACACTATTTTTTAAATGTCTTATGCAATAAACTGTTTCTAGTGAGGGGCCCCTGCTCTAGGAAGTGCTTTATGGCATCTTGAAGGAATTGCTGTCATGTGATTTTTGAATGACTTTGCAGTAAAGACCTGATCTTTCTAATCTCTGGTCTGGCTTCTGAATCCAAATGCTGTGCTGATTGGGGAAGCCCATGGGCCTTCCATCAGCATCTGAGAGGCCCCCTACTCTTGTTAGTCAATCCCTAGGCACAGGGGAAGCCTGGAGAGGGGTTAGTGGTAAACATTTGCAAAGCTGGGGGCTTGTGTGCCAGGAGTGGGTATGGAGAAGAGGGAAAGTCTATACCCCACCCTTGGCACTTCTAGGAGTCAGGCCCCTGTGGGATAGGATTTCAGGGCCTTTTGGGAGGTTTACTCACAGGCATGCATATGTAACAATAGAAGCTGATGCCTGACATTCCACCTCGATGGCTTCTTTCCTGTGCTTTAAATGTGAAAGCACAGACCCCTGACACCGGAATGTGTGAAACCTTGGCGCTCTCCCACTGGGTTATCCAGAGCGGGAGAAGGGGCTCTGGAAGGAAAGGCTGTGTGAACAGAGGCCCAGTCAGCGCTTACGGCTTTAGGGCTCTAAGTGGCCTTTATTTGGCTGCTGACCTTCCTCTCAAGTTCCAGAAGCCCAGGGCGGGTGGGGGTGGGGGGGCTGCATGGGGAAGCCACCACTGCCCATTGTCAGGACAGAAGAACAGAGACTAATTCCAAGGGAAGGCAGTTGCAGGAAAACGGACCTGCAGACATTCAGGTCTGCAGTTTCCTGACCTTGAAAAACCTTTCAGCCTACAAGGGTGCACCCACTGCTCATGCCATGAACCCAACTTTGCTCCAGGGCAGTAGGTGGCAGGCTTGGAGGAGACAAGAGGAACCAGGTGGCAGTGCTGGGGAAAAGCAGGCCCAGCAGAGGGCTGGGGGCAAGTGCTGTGGGTGCTGCCCTGCCTCTGGACTCCGCCTCCATCCTCAGCAGGGTGCTGCTGAGGACACACCTGTTTCTCTCTTCCTTGCCGTGGCGTGGTAACACATTGGACATCCTCTCTGCCAGTGTCTCAGGGCAGCAAGGTCCAGAGCAGCCGATGCCTTGAGAAGGTACGACCAGCTCTGGGCCAGCTCAGCACAAGGCAAGCCCTCAGGCTCCCCTGCCCTCTGCGGAGCAGCCTGTCTTCCTAGAGAAGAAGTGGCTGCTGCCTCTTTGAATGGCAGGTTAGGGGCATCTCATCTTTGTCATCTGTGAATGGGTTGAGGGGGGACTGACTGAGTTACTGCTCTGGGATACTGGCACAAGGCCTGGCACAAAGTGGGCACCTAGTGGGCAGTACCTGCTCCTTGTCCCAGGTATCACTTATTATTGGAAGCTTCTAAATTAAAAAATTCATCCACCAAACCTCTGTGCCAACCCATGTAGGTGTAGAAATCTGAACTGGTGGGAGTATTAACTCATTTTCAGTAGGTATCCCCTGCCTCAGATTCAGCCCCTGAACAGACCTAGGACTGAGGTTTTTAAAGTGCAGGATGTTTTAAACATAGGCAAGAAATCATTTAGTGAGTCTCAAGTAGCATTTATAAACCATGAACTAGGATACAGTACCTGTGTGTATTGCCTAGGGGTAGGCATTGTTGCAAGAATTTTGTCCCAGAATGGAGAGGCCATGCCTGTGTGCTGTGGGTTTTGGGTAGAACACAGCCTTCCTGTGGGCTCCGGTTAGGAACACTGGCCAGCCTCAGGCCTAGGGTGGCCTCAGAACCCCTAGCACAAGCCGCACTGGCCACTCTCTCCCAGGTGTGATGAATGCAAGACCGTGTTCCACCAGAGCTGCCAGGCAGTGGTGAAGAAGGGCTGTCCCCGCTGTGCCCGCCGACGCAAGTACCAAGAGCAGAATGCTCTCACCTAACCCAGTACCCTGTCCCCACGGAGACTGTGGGATGGGGTTCAGCCCAGTCATCCCAGCTGGGTTTGCCCTCAGCCCGGCTACTCCCGTTCCCACAAGATATCATGGCTGTCTGCCTTGGCAAGAAGACTCTTGGATGTGATCAGAGCTCAAGCCTTCCAAGGAAGCCCAGGAAGCCCGTGAAGATGTGCCCCAGTCCCCTCACCACCTATCTGCCCTGGGAGGTTGTAGGCAACCCAATGCCCCTGTCCCAGGTGGAGGAGGAGGGGAGCTTTGTGCTAACCAGCTCACCTCACTGATGTTATCTCCATCAGGGCTGTTTAACACTGTGGTAAAAGACTTGGGGTGCATTTTCAATTACACATTCCTGATTTAAAGGTCTAGTTTTTTAAGGTGGGTTTTTTTCCCTTCCTATTTCAACAGAAAATATTTTTTTATTCCTGACCCTACATAAGTCACCCAGGAAATCCAGGCATACTCAGCCTGAGCAAACGTGTGAGAGCATTTGCCTACAGGCAGGCGGGTGGCTGGGCAGGCAGGCTGCCGCTGGGACAGAGCCTGTCAGCTAGACAGGATGCCTTTCCTTCACCCGCGGTGGGTGCTGGCTGCCGCCTGAAGTGCAGTTTGCCGCACTGCCTAGGCCAGTGGGGTCACCTGATAACCACCCTCTTTCTCTCCCTCTCCTCTTTCTCCCTGCTCCATCCTGCTCCCCTGAAAAGCCCATCACCTTTCTCTGAGACAGAACCCCTGGCTGTTCCATAGCCTGGGCTCTTGGTCCCAGCAGGAGAAGGGGGATGACTCAGCCGCACTGTTAGCACTTTGAGCCCTCCTTGGTCCAGGGAAGAGTCAGCATCTTGCCCACCCCTCGGCCCCATGCCCTTCTCCCTCCTCCCACAGACCAGAAGCCAGATGGGCAGGGCGCTACTGCAGACACTCAAAGGGGACGCAGCCTACCCGACTGCCCCTTGCTAGGCCCACAGGGCAGTAAGCCAGGGCCAGGGGCCAGCCTCGGGCACCGTGACTGCCAGGCCCCACACTGTAGAGCACGTACCCCCTGCCCTTCCACAGAGTGCCAGCCCTGCTGCTGAGATGGGCAGGGACATGCAGAAGAAGCCACCCTTGTGGAAGGATGCTCAGCCTCAGTTTACAAAGCCATGAATTCACAAAGCTTGCTGGACTGGCCCAGGAAGAGCACTGCCAGAGACTGGAAATTTCACCTAAGCACGATTGCCTTTTGAAAGGATTTTTGGGGTGGGGGAGCTGTGAATTGTTTTTAAAGTAATGTTTAGACTCTATAGTTTGGGGGGAATCTGGATGTTATTTCCCTGCTGCCTTCTCCCACCTTTTCAGGACCCAGTAGGCCCCCTTCAGCCCTGAGGTCCTCGGCCATCCTGTCTGTTCTCAGCGTGGACTGGGGGTAGAGATTGCCTATCATTGTCAAGAGATGAGCGTACTCCCACCTCTCCCTTGGGGTGACTTGGCTGCTGAGTCACCTGCCCAGCCCTGTGGAGCTGGATATATTGTGCAATAGATAGAGGAGGTGGTAGGCAGGTGGGGGAGGGGGGCAGCTGCCACACAGCTTCTCTGTCCCCACCATGGAAGATGGTGCACACCTATGCCCAGCACACCAAAACCTCCTAAACTGGGAAGTGGGTCCTTGTCCCCACCCTCCTCCCCCATAGCCGGCATTAATGCTCTACCACACACAGCCTGATCAGAGCTGGAACTGCCCCAGGTCCCTAAATTGGCAGGCTCTGGCAGTGGGCAGTGGCACCTGAGCCCAACCCTGTTTCCTTGGGCCTGTGGGCATATTCTGTATTCCAGAAGATGCCCTAGGAGGCAGCAGGAGTGAAGCTCTGCAGGAGCTCACTTTGGTTGGGGGGCCTACCCCACCTCACCCCCTGCCCTCCAGGGGATCAGTAGCATTAGAGGTGACCCTCTCTGCATTACCAAGATGCTGCTAATACTTAAAGATGAGTTGGCTTTTACCCCCTCACGTCCAACGGAAAGTGAGGTTGAACCTCAGTAATGCCCACACTATTTTTTAAATGTCTTATGCAATAAACTGTTTCTAGTGAGGGGCCCCTGCTCTAGGAAGTGCTTTATGGCATCTTGAAGGAATTGCTGTCATGTGATTTTTGAATGACTTTGCAGTAAAGACCTGATCTTTCTAATCTCTGGTCTGGCTTCTGAATCCAAATGCTGTGCTGATTGGGGAAGCCCATGGGCCTTCCATCAGCATCTGAGAGGCCCCCTACTCTTGTTAGTCAATCCCTAGGCACAGGGGAAGCCTGGAGAGGGGTTAGTGGTAAACATTTGCAAAGCTGGGGGCTTGTGTGCCAGGAGTGGGTATGGAGAAGAGGGAAAGTCTATACCCCACCCTTGGCACTTCTAGGAGTCAGGCCCCTGTGGGATAGGATTTCAGGGCCTTTTGGGAGGTTTACTCACAGGCATGCATATGTAACAATAGAAGCTGATGCCTGACATTCCACCTCGATGGCTTCTTTCCTGTGCTTTAAATGTGAAAGCACAGACCCCTGACACCGGAATGTGTGAAACCTTGGCGCTCTCCCACTGGGTTATCCAGAGCGGGAGAAGGGGCTCTGGAAGGAAAGGCTGTGTGAACAGAGGCCCAGTCAGCGCTTACGGCTTTAGGGCTCTAAGTGGCCTTTATTTGGCTGCTGACCTTCCTCTCAAGTTCCAGAAGCCCAGGGCGGGTGGGGGTGGGGGGGCTGCATGGGGAAGCCACCACTGCCCATTGTCAGGACAGAAGAACAGAGACTAATTCCAAGGGAAGGCAGTTGCAGGAAAACGGACCTGCAGACATTCAGGTCTGCAGTTTCCTGACCTTGAAAAACCTTTCAGCCTACAAGGGTGCACCCACTGCTCATGCCATGAACCCAACTTTGCTCCAGGGCAGTAGGTGGCAGGCTTGGAGGAGACAAGAGGAACCAGGTGGCAGTGCTGGGGAAAAGCAGGCCCAGCAGAGGGCTGGGGGCAAGTGCTGTGGGTGCTGCCCTGCCTCTGGACTCCGCCTCCATCCTCAGCAGGGTGCTGCTGAGGACACACCTGTTTCTCTCTTCCTCCTCCTCCTTCCTAAAGGAGGCTGCAGGGGTTGGAGACCTCAATCCAACCCCAAGGAGGAGGGTGGCGCATCTCATAATAAAAGTAGTGATAATAACTAATACAATGTGTGTTCTTAATGTGATAATATATTAAATAATACTGTGCATCTCATTTAATCTTCCCAAAGGATTAACAATCCTTTGAAGTAGGCATTACTGTCCCTAGTTTAGAGGGAAAAAAACATGCAGAGATAAGGAAGGATCTTGAGTCCAACCCCTGGAGGCTGCTTTCAGCTCACACTATGGACAGATTGGAGGATGGCCCTCCTCCCCAGCAAAGATTCAGGGGTTGGGGGGCCGGAATCAAGCAGTGGGAGGGAAATCTGGCCAGAAGTTGGTGAGGAAGCTCCCTTGCCCCTCACTCCACCATCCTGGCCTTGCTGCCTTCACCTCCAGGAGACAGCCAGGTGTGGCCCGGGATGCCGGGAGGTGCAGGGAGAGGGGGTGGCGTCTCTGCCCCTGGGGTGCTGGCCCGACCCAGAGCGGACAGGAAGCCAGGACACCGGGGATTGTCTCTCACAGCCGTAGCCCAGCCCCAGCCCGAGAGGAAGTTCTGCCGGGCGCTCTCCGCTGGTGCCTCCCTCGCTGTATTGTTGAACAGGAAACCGGGTAGCGCGGGAGCTGGGCGGTGGAGGAGGGAGCCTCGGACGCCAAGCCCATGCGCGCCTGCGGGACAAGTGGAGGCGAGGCCAGCGAGCGGACACCCTGAGGTGCCGGGGCTGGACCGGACCGGACCGGGTGGTGGGTGAAGAGCTGAGGGTGGGGAGCGGGGTGCCGCAGGTGGCAGGTCATCACCCGTGAGCAACATGCGCCTGCTCCCCTTCGCACCGCGCTAGGCGGGAGCTGCGCGGGCTCAGGAGGAGGGCTGAGTTGGACAGATTGCCGCCCCACCCCCTATCCCCCAGGAGGAAGGGGGATGCAAAGGCTGCCCTCCGTCCGGGGGCGACAGGGGCCCAGGCACAGACCCCCAGCAACTACCCAGGCCTTAGCGCCGCTGTGGCTCGCGTCGCCCGGGCAGCGGGCGCGCAGGGCACCTCCTGCTCCCCCCATCCCTCCCCTTCTCCTTACTCCCCTAATATCGGGGAAGGAGCCGAGGTCCGGGTCACCTCCCCACCCAGCCCGAGACCCTGCGCTCCGGTGGGCATCCCTGCAGTGGGAACTCTGCTCGGAGGCTTTCCAGGCGGGTCAAGCTCGGCGAGGATAGGCCTGTGGTGGGCGGAGGTGGGCCAGGAGTTGGCAGTGCCTGCAAACCAGCTGAAAAGGGCTCGTAGTTGGTGATTCAGGGTGCAGATGGCCTCCTCGGAGTGGGAACGCCCTGGCGAGACTACGAGCTCAGGTCGAGCAGTCCCAGAGCAGCGCGCCCGGGGGACGCAGAGGCTTTCGGACGACAAATCCCGCGTGGCGGGCAGGAGAGGCGGGGGCGGAGCCCTACTTTCCCTGGGTTCAGCTCGCGACCCGCCAGCGTCCCTTCAGTCGCAGCCTTTCCGACCCTTGCCCCTCCCTCATGCCATCTCTGGCTCCGGGCCCCGCCCCCAGTGTCCCCACCGACCCAGGCAGACTTAGGCTCCTCCTCGCCCCTCCCAGACACAGCTGCTTTGGAGTTTGGGGGCATTCCTTTTGAGCGTCCCTCTCCGTCTTGCTCCCCTTGCCAGCTCCTGCTCCCAGAGGTCTCTCCAGCCTAGCGCTTGGAAGCCCCGCCCAAGGACATGGCAGGGACCTAACCTGCACCCATTCTCCGGTTCCGCCCATCCAGCCCATGGGCTCCCTGAGACTCGCCCTGCCAACGTGAGTGAGTGGCGGGGGTCCAAGGAAAGGTGGCGACAAGGGCTGTCCTCGCTGGGGTTTTCTTGGTTCAGCTCCCGGCCGCTCAGGGACGTTGCCTCCAGGGCCCAGTATGCTTAGTGACTCAGTTTACACCCCCTTCCTCCATGGAGGCAAGCTTGAGAAAGTAAGAGTAGGGCTGTGTTCCCCGGGGCTGGACCCTGTTCCTTTGTCCCTCGGCCTCAGAAGCTACCGAGCTCCGAGCTGCTAGTCCGGGGCCACCTTTGTAGGGCAGGAGGTGTGTTCACTGTAAAGGTCTGGAGAAACCAGCCACTTCTGGAGGTCACCGACTCTTTTATGAGGGACACAGGTTAATTCAGTTAGGCTCTGACCCCCTCCCCCAACATACCAGGAGCCAGGTTGCGTCGGCGTGAAGGGGAGTGGGTGGTGATCACCCAGGAAAGCTTTGGGGGGCCCTGGGGACACCGAAAGGGTAAAGTGCATTCTCTATGGGGCAATGTAAAAATCACAAGACAGGTGGGCAGGCCGCGAGGGCCCAGCCTCTCTTGGGAAACGGAGGTGGGAGCTGGAGAGCAGGGGGCGGTGAGGACCGGTCTGGGCGGGCCGGGCTCTAGGTTCACGTCTGTGGCTATGCCGCTGGGGAAGGAAAGAGAAACCTAGAGAACCGGTTCCCCCGCCTTGGCAGTCACGGACCCTTACGCCAAGGCCCTTGGACTAAGCGAGAAAGAGACACTCCCAGAGTAGAGAGGCGTGAGGGCCGCTCCCTGAGCTCCCCAACCCTGACCCAGCGGGCCCGGGGCGCAGACCCCTGGAAGGAAGAGGCTTCGGGGACACCGATTCCCTGAGGGCTAGAGGCTTCAGGAGGGGGCGGGAGGAATGGGCTGTTCTTTTCACTTCACAGACGGGGAAACTGAGGCCCAGCCAACTTTTTTGGCAAATTTGGTGTCGACTTTCTCATTGGCAGTCACTCCATTTCTTTAAATCGAGGCTTCCCTGGCTGTAAAGTTAGACCATTATTACCCACAACCTGAAGCGAGGCTCAAATGTTGCAGTCAAAGCCACAGAATCAAAGGGTGGTCATAATCCCATTATTGAGTGTGAGAATGAAAATTTTTTAGATTATTTTGTCCAAGTCCTCCGTTCTAAAGATAGGAAAACCGAGGCCCGAACGCACTCGAGGAGTGCAGCATGGGGACTCAGACCCAGGTCCTGCGTCCCCTGAGTGCGGTGCATCTCTGGCCAGGTGGCCCTGACCCCGGTGCCCCTTATTGTTGCCCACAGGGAAACGCCGCCGCCGCGATGGCGGCGTCCGTCGAAGGGGACGTGTACGTGCTGGTGGAGCATCCTTTCGAGTATACCGGCAAGGACGGGCGCCGTGTCGCCATCCAGCCCAACGAGCGCTACCGGCTGCTGCGCCGCAGCACCGAGCACTGGTGGCACGTCCGTAGCGAGCCTGGTGGCCGCCCCTTCTACCTCCCCGCTCAGTACGTGCGCGAGCTGCCGGCGCTCTGCGACCCTGCCACCGCCCCGGCTCCGCCCATGCCCCACCAGGGCCCCGCAGCCCCGGAACCGCTCTCTTACAACTACTGTTTCGTGAGCGCGCCCGCGTCAGCGGGCCCCGACGGCGCGCCCATCGGGCGCCGGGGCCGCGCGGGCTCCCTGTGCGGCCCTGCGCGGCGCGGCACCGCGACCCAGCACAGCAGCATAGCGCCTGGCTTGCCGGCTTGCCTGTACACGAGGCCCGCGAAGCCCGTGCGGCCCGCGCAGTCACTGGACGACCTGGCGCGCTCCACCGCCACGCCCCCAGCCGGCCTCCTCGGGAGAGGGGGCCGCGCCAAGGCCTGCAGCGTGGCTGGCTCCTGGGTGTGCCCGCGCCCCCTGGCGCGCAGCGACTCCGAGAATGTCCGCAAGGTTGCCCGGGACCCTCGCGGCTCGCCTCAGGAGGAGCGCCCGAAGCAGGTACGCCGCTGGCAGCTGGGAGCGGGGAGGCGCGAGGAGACCCATTCGGCCTAGCGTCCGGCTCGCTGTGGCGCAGCAGTGTCCGTCGGCTCTGGATGAGCTCCCTCACACCGAGCCTCACTCTCCAAAACCACTAAATGAGAGAAATACAGGCTTGCAGTCTCTTACCTGAAATTCCGAAACGCCAAAGCTCTCGGGAGCCCAGAGGGTTTTCGTTAACTCAATTGGTAGCAAGATTTTACTTGAACCTCTCTGTGAGGCCGTTGATGGTCTTTATTCATCCCATTTAGTACGAATATTCAGGTTTTCCTACAGAAATACAAATGAACTTGATGGCAGAGTGAGGCCCCAAGCCTTGTTGGGAGCATTCTGTAACGTATGGCAGGTGTGTGCGCCCTGTTACCTTTCTAAAATCCGAACCATTACGAAATGCATCTGGGTAGTGAAGAGGGGATTGTGGACTGCAGTCGGCGCTACCAGCCTTGCCTTTCTCATAGGAGCTTGGGGGGTCAGACAAGATAATGGATGTGAAAGTCCGGGCTCTGCTTCCCTTTTTGGCTACTTCCAACATTTCAGTTCCTTTTTTTTTTTAAACTTTTGATTAGTTTGTTTCAGAAAGAAATCCAGTTGTATTGTGGGTGTTTTTTTCCGTTTAGAATCCAGTTATGTTAATTTGGAGAATCGAAAATAGAGCACGCTTTTAAAACACTCTTACATCCTCAGAATCCTGCGGGCGGCCCTGACATCTTGAACTTTAGGAAATTTTCTGGCAGTCAGGTGAGGGGGTATTGGTGGTAGAATGCACAAACTCCTGACAACTGTCACCAGATGGGGTAATTATTGGCAATTTACTTCCTCTCTAGGGGACTCAATTTGTCCTTTGGCTCAAAGTGGGGCGGGAGCATGAATGGATGATTCCCTGAAGCTTGTGAGTCTTTGATTTTTTCCTTTGAACTTGATGTAATTATAATAAGCATTGATACCTGTCACTTGCCAGGACTGTCTGGGCTGCTCAGAAAAAGGAGGCACCATGCCTGTCTGCCAGCTCCTGGGTCTTCTCTCTGTCCCGTCTGACTATAGTGCAAAGAGTTTAGGATTTGAGGCTACAGAGATTCGAATTTGACTCTACTGAGTCATCTGCCAGCTGCTGACAAAGTACTTTAGTTCTCTCAGTGCCAGTGTCCTCGTGTGTAAATGCAGGGCAATACCTAAATATTAGGGTTGTTAAGCGCCTTTAATGAGGTGAGGAATGGATGTGTTTGGCGCGTAGAAGGCGATCTGTCAAGACTGGATAGGGTCGCGTATGCTATCTTTTCCCCCAGGCCTGCACTGCCTTAGTTGTTTCTGCAGGTGCAGCCCGCCCCCTTATGGCCAGGGCGGAGAATAGCATCCGGCGGGCGGGGACGCGGACCCGGACTCGGCCGACGGGTTGGGGTGGGATCCTCGTGCCCCTTGGCTTCTGTGGGATAGACGACTGGATGCCCGCGCTTCTCTCCCCCCGCGCCCCTCTGTTTCCTGGGCAGGCTCTTGGCAGCGCATTCCCGGGCCGCTCCACATTTGCTCCTTGGAGGTGCACTCCTACACAAGTTGGGGGACTGGCCTTGCCCCCTGAAGCCCTGCGTCCAAGCACAGGTCCTGGTGCAGAGCATGTGCAAAGAGTGTGTTGACAAGGGAGGAGGGGCGACAGCCCCCTTACCCATAAGCCAGGCTCTACAGGTCTTCCCAGGGGACACCACCCGGTAGCTCACCCTCCTGGGTAGAGAAATCACCCTGCAGCCAAGGCCACTGTCCTGTAGTATTTGCCCCTCCTTCCCCCAGCTCCCAGCATTGCAGTGTGTGTGAATGTGTGTGTGTGTTGCGGGGGACACACAGGTGACAGTGGGGGTAGTGCTTGCACAGGGAGGAACTAGGACCCCTCCCAGAGATACGGGTTTTGGCTGAGAGGCTCTGCCTTGTCTCACTTCCAGTGCTGATTCACTGTGTAGCCTCAAGAAGTGGCTGAGCATTTCTGGCCCAGGTTCCTCCCTGTGTAATCGGTATAATAACCCACTCCCTGTGACTGGCTCTATTCAAGTGTCAGCTGTGAGTCTCCCTGGTACCCCTTCCCTGAGAAAATCTGGGGGAGGGGAATTGGTTTCTCCCAGGAAGGAAACCGCACTCTGCTCTTCGTTGTTTGAGGTCGCATTTCAAGAAGGAATTTCCTGAAAGGTGAGCCTGCCTGTTTTCTTCTTGGAGGAAGCAGGAGAGGCAGTGCCTACCCTCCCCCCACCCCATTTGCTTCCTCACTGAGCCTGAGTTGACTGGACACCTGCTGAGCACCAGGAGGCACAGCCCCAGCTGGTGGGTGCTCACTGTCTGGGTCAGGAGGCTGGCAGGAGGAGACAGATGCCCCCATCCAGCCTGGCACAGTATGTCTGTGATAGAGCTACACTCAGGGTGCTATGGAGCATGGGCAGGGGGGAGGTTCAAGATGATGTGGCACCTTTGGGGCCTTGCAGCCCACCTCTACCCTGTGTAGCTGGGGCTCAGGAAAGGGGGCTCTGGTGGGGAGTGGGTGGTGCCTAGCTAGGCAGAGCCTCATGGGCTCTCGCCAGGAATTTGGACTTTGTCTTGCAGCCATTGGAAGGCTCTCAGCAGAGAAGGGAGTGGGGTTGAGAAAAGACCCTTGTGGTGGGCCTTTGAGAATGGCAGAGGACCTTCGTGGTCTCCCAGGCCTGCAGTGATGAGGGAAGATTCGTGGGGTAGACTTGGCAGGACCTGGCGGCTGAGGGGCTGAGGGGGGTGGGAGGGGAGTCAGGATGAATTTCAGCCTCCCAGTCTACACACCTGGGTAGACAGTGGGCTGTTTGCGGCAGGGGACAATGGGGAGATGCCAGTGGAGGAAAGAGGCTGGGGCCAGAAGGCAGCGGGAGAGCTGGGCCTGCTGCCTAGGAAAAGGCCTTCAGCGTGTGATGGTGGAGCCATGGGTATGGGGAGAGTGGGAACAGGGGCACTGAGACTGCCCTGGGGCCCGGGCCCACCACATTTGGGTGATAGACAAAGGGAGGGAAGAGGAGCCCAAGAGGAAGTGATAGTCAAGGGACAAGGAGGAAAAGCAGGAGAGTGCTAGCCCAGAAGGCTAGAAGTATCCAGAAAAAAGGGGAAGTTGGGTAAAGGCCATCAAACATTTATTGGAAACGGGTACCAGAAGATCAGCAGCTACCTTATCAGGAACTGGTCAAGCGGGTTGCTGAAGGCAGAGGGTCAGAGGAATGAAGTGAGGATGTGGACAAAGAGTGTAGACAACTCTCCAAAGCTTGTTAGTGAAGGGACAGATGCTGTGGTCTGTGGTTGAGGTGGAGGCTACCCTGAATCTAAGCAAATGGCAGACAGGGAGCTGGGAGGCTGGGGGTGGTGAGTAAGTGGAGAAAGGAGTGAGGGAGGGACCCTGAGCAGGGGGTGGGGGGGACTGGCTTCCTCTGCACAGGGGCAAGGATGTGAGGATGCAGATGACATAGGGTCATGGGGAGGGTGGGGTCAGTGTCCAGTCCATGAGCCACTGACAAGGGGGAGGGCGGTGAGATGGGCAGAACAATCAGCAGATGCAGGGAGCCCACCACCCACCCTGGAAGAGGAGCCTTTACACCGTAAGGCATTTTACATCCTTGTCATTCACTGCTCACTCGCCTAGCACGTAATGCTCACCTGGTATGTGGTGGTCACTTTGCTGGACCCTGAGGACACAAACTATGGTAGGACATGACATGATCCTGTCCCAGAGGGGCTAATGGTCCTGTGGGCTCTCACCAAAAGGCTCATCCTCCAAGCCCCAGGAAGGCAGGCATGGGTATCCCAATTTGTCTTGAGTACAGAGGTTCAGAGAGGTTTAGTAATTAGCCAAAAGTCACCCAGCCAGGAGGTGGCTGTGTCTGGGTCAGTTCCAGTCTTCCTGACCCCAAACCCCACCCTGGCCTCAGTCTCAGCCAGGTGGCCTTGCTGTTCCCCTAAGCAAGGACTCTACAAGCTGAAGGCAAACCAATGTTCACTTTTCTGAGCTTCCCGTGTGTGCCCAGCCCTGGAGGCATGAGTTCCAAACCCTAGCCTTGCTCTCTGCAGCCGAGGGTGCAGCACGGTGCCCAGGACAGGGCAGAGCATGCACTCCAAGGAGGGAGAGATGGAGGAGAGAGGGAGGGAGGCCTGAGCACTCTACCTGACCCTTGCCCCGTCTGAGGAGGAGCTGGGTGAGGAAGGGGCCTCTGAGACTCCTCCCCAGCCTGGGGGAGGGGCCATCGTGACTGGGGATTTCAAGGTGTGGTCATTATCCCCGCCCCATGGCCTCAGAGGTGGGGAGGCCCAGACTGGCCATCTGGACTGGAGCCCGCCCCTGCTTTCGGGGCATTGGCCACAGGGAGGAAGGAGTTATAGTCTGGCCTCTGCAGCCTCTTCTGTAAACAGCCCAGAGGCACCTCACCGGAGCAGGGGGCCTGGACCGGGAGGAGCCCCAGGGCCCTCTTTCCTTTCGTCCTCGGCTGGGAACTGTGAGTGACCCTTCAGCTGGGAATGGAGTTGGGCCCCTGGGGTTGAGGGCGAGCGCTGCAGCAGCTTTCCCACGCTCTCTCCTCCCTCCCAACTCCCCATCGGTCTTTCCTGTACCCTACTAACACCCACTGATGATGGCCCTCCTCTCTGGATACCCGGCCTGGCATGCTCTCCCTGGGCAAACTCCCGCGCTCCTACGGCAGCCCCAGGCAGCTGAGATAAAGGAACTGGCTTTGGGCAGACCTACCCGGTACCCCCTTTGGAGGCCAGGGGCCTTGTGGAAAGGGGGCCTGGCAAGAGCAGGATTGCTGAGGCTAAGCAGAGGGTCCAGTGAATCTCCTTGTCCTGATTCCTCTTCCCAACAACTCCCCCCATCCCCAACCCTGCAGAGGGCAGCGCCCTGGGGTGGCCCAGCTGGTTTCTTCACATCTGGCCTGAACTTTCCCTTCCAGTGACTCACCTGCAGCCCCGGGCTGACCCAG